AGGCACACCCACCCTCTGGGGGGTCAGGGTTGGTCCCTGTTCAGGTCAGCCTGTTTCCTTGATGACCTTTCATGGTGTGATTGTGGGTCTTGTCTGGTTTGGAATCATCTTTGCCTCTGAGTAAGACGGTAAGCTCCCCAGACAAAGATGGGCTGGACCTGCTTCCGTGCACTGATACTGAATTCTGATTTTAAGCTTCAGAGTTGGGTAGCTCCCCAGTGAGGAGGCAGGCAGTGCGCGTAGAGTTACATATGGTTCTAAATTTAATTCATTTCAATCACCAAATGCATGCGCCTTCACTGTTGTGATGAATTTTTAATGTAACTTGAGCAGGCCTTCTAGAATTTTGCATTCTCTCTGATGCCTGAACATTTTTAACTGAAACATTATTCTTTAGAATTTCCTGGTGTCTGTCTAGCTCATCCGAAGAGTAGAAAATAGTCCAGAACTTAAATTATTCATGTGATGCTTTAGGCAATTTTGGTTTTGCACCTTGCATTGCAGGCACCAGCAGCATAATGCCACATGTTGTCTTTAAAATGTAGTCATGGTGGCCGTCTGATTTCTCTATATGGTAGCTGTTCCTCTAGAAAATCCTATTTTATTGATATTATTTAACATATTTGCTCAGGTTGGGGTTCCGTGCTGTTGACTGATAACTTGCTTTTGGCATAAGATAAAATTGAACTGGAAAAAAATCTCCATTCCAATTTGATCATTTAAATGTAGTGAAAGTCTTTATATCACTTTTCTTTCATTTGCCGTTGAAAGCGAGTGAAATAATGGATATAAAGTGCTTTGTAAAGAATATTTGTATTATGCATTATTGTTCTGAAGAGCTAAATGTAGTAGAGCGCTTTCGGTATCGTCGTCGTTGGGTTTTATTCTGACTCCTCGAGTTACTTCAGTTGTGTGACCTCCGGCAGATGACTTCATGCCTGTGGTCCTTGGGGGTCTGTAAAATGAGAGGCATGGATTGGGACTTTCGGGCCGTCTAGTGGAACGGCACTTAAGTGGTAAGGGCATCAGTTTTACAGCATGGACATGGGATAGGCCTGAGAGTAAGTATACCACATCCGATCCCCAACTAAGAACCAAAGATTATTATTTGGGGGAGGGTGGGGGGGGGGACAACCTTGCTGCAGTGGATAACTGCTGTTTTCCTTCTGTTTCATTCAGTTTTCTTCATCTTTATGTGTGTATTTCTTTTCCTTATATACATGAAGTTTTGTCCTGTCCTTCATTATGTTCTTTGTCATTGTCTGCATTCCACTTTCCTTGTGTTTCATTCCTGTATCTTTCTTGTTTAGACCATCTGGAGCACGCAGCTGGCAGAGCCTCTATGTAGGACCCTTCAGGAACCTGAGGGTAAGTGCACACGTGTACTTACCAGGCTCCCAGCGGCTCTGCCGGACCAGTTCTCCAGGCACCTCCTGCCTCACAGACAGGAACTAACACATCTCCCTCCCTTTGTAAAAGTCCTTACAGGTTGTTTTTGGTTATGAGTTGTTTTTGTTTTTGTTTGCTTTTAATTTGATTGCGTATAGAACAAAAACCAAGTATCAGGGGGGAGAATGTATTGATTTAAGGAAATATAGCAGGTACCACCGGGTGTTATTACAATATTTGGCTTTGTGAGCGACACTAGTCATATACCTAAGTGTGAGTCAGGATACCCGGGTTCAGACTTCTGTCATAGATTGATCAGTCCCCTTGGGATCCTGGTCTTCAGTTTCTCTCAGAAAAAATAGCAGGTAGGACAGGTGATTTCAGTAGCCCCTTCATCTCTAGTCTACACTCCTAATGGGCAGTAACTCAGGTATTAGATGATTCTGATGAAGATTGAGAAAATCACTTTATGTATCAGATAATCTCAATTCCATGAATGAGTGATGATTAGATTCATGATAGATTCATTTTCATCGTAAACTAAAGTCTATCAGTGCTCACCAGAGGCACTCAGGAGGTAAATTTAATTGTTCCATTTCTTAGTTTTTAGAATTGGTGTATTAGTGTTACTCGAATACTTAAAAAATGTTTATAAATATGTAGACTGTGGAGCCCCGTATTGGTTTAGCTCAGTGGTTCTTAATGTAGAGAGACAACCCCTCCCTCCTTTCGGGTGAGAGACTTAGGCCATGTCTGGAGACTTGCTCGTCACAGGTGGAAGCAGGGGCATGCTCTTGGCATCTAGTGGGTGGAGGTCACTGATGCTTCTGGGCGTCCTCTGGTGCTTCAGACAGCCCCACAGCAGCGAGTGATCTCCCCAGATGTCAGGCGTGCTGTGGTCGGGACGCTTGTAGCAGCCTGTGGTGGGTACTCCTGTTTGTCCTCCGAGTAGAATGCACATGTCCCGCAAGTGGCTGTCTTCCCAGGGCAGATCAGGCTTTCCTGGTCCTGGTGTTTAAAGAGGATACCAGGGGTGGCACGGGGGTGGGGGGATCTGAGGGTGGTGCAGCTTCTCACTGCTTAGGTTTGGAGAGTCTAAAAATAAGGCATTTGACATTCAGTATCAGCTAGGTGTTCTAATATTCTTTTATGCAGGGAATAAAACTAAAAATAGCACTTTTACCTTTTAGTTATATGATTTCATTCTTAGTACATATTAATGAATGGTACTGTTAAAGTTGTGCTTTGCTTTATGTAAATCTAGAAATTTTACTTGTCTAATAGTCTATTTATACATATAGGCCAGTTTATTTTTTTTGTACAACCTGCTACCAGGTTCATATAGCACTTGATAGGTTTCAGGAAATTTTTTGAATTGCTTTTGCAAGGGATTGTATTACAACAAATTGACATCTGTTTTTCTATTATATTTTACAGTGTGACTTAAAAAAAAAGTATGTAAGGTTTATGCGTAAGAGGTAGGGTTTACACCTCCAGTTTTACTTATTTCGAAAGTTCATACCTGTACAAAGTAGAATGTAAGAGGTTAGTTAAAAAAAAGAAAAGGGTCACATTCGTTTGTCCTGTTTGGGGTACATGAGGTGGTACTGATATAAAAATTTGGGAGTTTTGATCCAGGGAAAAAACTGTCTGTATATAACTTTTGAATCAGGTGTCTATGGGCACTAGGAGCCCTTTCTGTGAACCTCATCAGACATGAACTGCACTTGCTAGAGCAGTTATGTTAATGGCTAGGTAATCATTTATATTTGCATTGTTTGCTACCAGTAGTCTGATATGGGTGGGGCATCACAGACAAGGAAGGGCATATATCATCATGAGGATAAGAAAACTGGTTGAATCCAATTCCCTTAAAACACAGCTGTAGTTTTCAAGAGCCTTTGTCGTCATCAGATTTAGGCTAGGTGCTATTGAGTTGACAAAGGGAGAAAGACTTGAAAGAGGAGGTTACTTCTTACAATATGAAAAGGTGTATTCATGTCCTTGCCCCTTGCAGAGGGGATTGGTTTATAACCCTTCCACCTGGAGACTTGAATGGACTATATCTCCAGGCAGACTCTCAGCTTCTGTTTCCACCAGAGTGTGTGGTTCCAGTGAAGTATATGCTTGTGTCCTGGGTTCCACTTCAGCTGCCTTTAGAAGTGAACGGATTGGTGTGTTGTTAATCAGGAATTTGAGTGAAGGTTTTATGTAATTGTAAAAAACAGCTTTTTTTTTTTTTTTTTTTTACAGGCTGAAGAGTTAGGGATTTAAAATGGTATTTTAGAATTTGTTTTTTAAGACTAACAAATTAAATGGCTGATTATTAAGTATTCTATACTTTATTTTTCTTGTTTGCATCTCAAGTGTTTATCAAAATCTGGGGACGTTTTTTAGGGTTAATATTTGCTTTGTATTGTAATTGATGTTTCTGTTTTTAATCCTGATCTTTGCAGTGGTGGTATTTTGTGTCTCTGACCTCATTTTCATCTGTTGTCTGTATTTTAGTTAATTATTCTCCTCTCTAGTGATTCTCTGTTAAGGAGAACACCGTTTTCCAGAAGTTCTGAGTGGTTTCTAGTTTGTCGTTTTACTAGACCAGAGATAAAGGTGTCAGGAGGCTTGTTGCCGAAAGAGAAAGGATAGCTCTGAGAGCTATTTGGGGCCTGGCTGGGGAGAGCGTTGCAGAAAGAGAAGGAAGGTTTGGGGAGATGGAAAGGGACTTACTCTGAATCTGAAACGGAAAACCGACAGCCACCAGGAATAAGAAACGTAGAATGGAAAAAGTGGAACAAGGTCACAGATTCTGACTAAATCCCGAAGAGACTGAGCTTCCAAACCTTCAGTATCAGTATTTCCACAGAGGATTGTTTTTCCATGTTGAATATCTCGGTGGCTTTAGTTCATTGTTCCAGCTCATCAGATATGTGTTGCATTTCAATCTTATCTTCTGAACTGTGTTGTCACTTGGAATGCAGTTGGTGTTTCCTGACTTCATTCTGCCGAGTTGTTAATGAAATGCTGAATTGTGCTGGACCTGGGACCCTCAGAGTGCCATGCGGGCTGACAGTGAATTATCCATAATTACTCTGCATTTGATATTTGAGCTGTGGTGCATGGGAGTATCCCTTGCCATTCAGCAACATCTTTGCTTCTGCTGTTTTACTTTGACAAGTCTGAATAATGTCTTAACTAAAAGGGCCCAAGTAAGTTATAACATGTTATTTTTCTCTAATGTGCTTCTTACAAATGTCTAGACTTCTGCCAGTTCCTATTATTTGTGTGGCGTTGAAATTAGTGCTCTTATCTAATTTTCCTGTTACATCAGTGTTGTTAACTTTTTAGAGTATTTTACATATTAGTTTGATAGCTGTTATAGCTAGGAGGGGAACTGTTACTTGAGATTCTCAAAAATAATAGGATTTATGGGTTTCTTGTCTTTGACATAGCTTAAAAGTATTCATATTCATCATCTTTCTTCAGGAATCTGAGGTGATAATTGCCTAGAAATATACAGTTTGCTGTGTTTGAATTAGTAATTGTCCCCAAGAATTCAGGATAATAATGAGCGACTGAACGAACAAAACAAATAAATAAATATTGTGTTTCAGGGAAGAAAAAATCCCAAGAAAATAAAAACAAAGCAAACAAAACTGAAGACATACAGCTGAAGACAAGTGAGCCAGATTCCACCTCTGCAAATATGAGAGATTCTGTGGAAGGTAAGCTTGGGTTTTGGACCCGTATGATTTCGGGTATACACTGCCACCAGTTACTTTGACTTTGCATCTCTTTGGAATGCCCTCTGAAAATCATCCAATAACCATAAAGGGTTAAACAGCAGAAGGGTCTCCTGGATTTAATGTGGCAAGTTGAGCCTTACACGTCTCACCTCCCCTTCAAAAAAATCATTGAAGACCTTCCTTGTTAAAAATGAAGTTATTCCCTGGTTAAAATAAAATGAAACATACTGTGTGATTTTATTTACTGGCAGGGACAGGAGGGGCCTCTGGGGTGCCAATACTAGTCCATCGCTGGGTTGGGATGAGCACATCAGTGTATTTACTCTGTAGACATCTCACTTTGCTATACTTTTCTTGATGTTTTTTACTTTAATTAAAAGCTCACTAAAACATATCAGGCACCTTTGATTTTATATATCAGAATGAAAAGTATATAGAATGAAAAGTTTGTTTTTTTCCTTAGAATTTAAATTCCTACTTTATCTCTTCATGTTTCTCCCCACAAATTTTTCTTCTTTAGAACCCCTTCTGAGAATTCATATTCTAGGCCCTCCACGATGTAAGAATTCCCAGAGACGGGGATTGAATGTTACTTGGGAAGGCAGATTGCCCTGTGCCTGGTGCCGTTGAGACACCATGTCGAGGCTCTTGCCAGTAGAAGTGAGGGGGGGGTGCGGTGTGTGTCTTAATTTCTTATGTGGCAAATTCATGCAACAGACCGGGCTTGCTCAAGAGTTCGTAGTGACCCAAACAGGCAGGTTTCAAAATACAGGCTGTGACTCTTTCAAAAAACATTTGCAGAAAAAAAAACCAACAAAATATTGTGGATGCCTTTTATAATCATTTTATTAGCACTGTTTGTGGGGATGACATTCGTAAAGGATTGTAATTTTCTGAGGCATCTTATGAAGCAAGAATAGACAAATTTATTTCCCAGAGCCCTATAAAAAAAAGTTCTGCCTGCTGATAGCAGGTTTGCTAAGACGTTTGTTTGAACAACAACAAAAATACCAAAGAACCTTACTACTATCAGTGGCAGAATTAACAATCCAACAGTCCCCTCTCCCATTCAGTAATTCAGGACCGTTATTTTTTCCTGATATAACATCAGGTCCTGTGAAAGAAAGATACTTAATATTTTGCCTGCTTGTGGTGCAGCTGGTCAGTATTTGATTGGTTCTGTACCTTGTGGTTGTCAGCTTCTCCTGCACGTTCTGTTTGGTCCTCAGAAAGTAGTCTCTATTACTGAGCAAACAGTTCAGACTCTTCCTTGTGTTTCCCAAACCATCCTTTATGTTTAAAACTCACCAGACCTCGAGTGTGGCCACACTTTGGTTCATAGAGCCGTGCACATTTTGGTTCATATTACTTTGGGCAGTTTTAAATCTGGGATTGTTTACCGATCACAGAAAAAATACTTCCATTAAAAGAAGCCATGGATTTTGGCTAAAAATGAACTGTATGAAGAAATTTTTGAGGCTTAGAGATGTTATTTTCATTTCTGTTGTCTCATTTTGATTTTTTTTTAGCAGTGTGCTGGGTCTTTGTTGAAAATGTATTTGGAAAGGGAGTTAGCTCCTAATTTGAAATACATTACTACCATCAAATGACTGGTTTCCCAGTTTGAGGAAACCTCATGCAATTTAAGAAATATGTCTGGAGGAAAGAAGGCTGGTGTCCATTTAGAGGCAGAAACCTTAATTGCTAGTGGATGGTAGCGGTAGATGGGGAAAAAGGAAGACCGATAGTCCTAGGAAGCAGCAGGAGGACTAGGACGGAATCACTGAGCTTGTATTAATACCTTGCATGTGCAGAGTTTGAAAAGGTTGGCTTTTAAAACCCTTCCTTGTCCCCTGTATCCAGGCAGTCACCAAGTTTGTTTACAGGACTCTGGTAGCGTATCTCCATGATCTGACCGCTTTTTTTTCTGCCTCTTCTGCTTCTTTCCGTTTCCATCTCTCAGTGTAGGTAGCCAACCTCTCCCTTGTAATGCCACTGCATCAGTATTGGTTTTCTGCCTCTTCCCAACCCCTTAATACACACTGCAGCCAAATCTCCCAAATGGCACTCTTCTGCTTTACAATATCTTAATGGCTCCCCATTGCCTGCAGCTAAGTCCACACTAATTTACAGTGTGCTGCATGTCTTGATTGCTCCTGCTTGATTTTCCTCTTCTATCCTTGTCCTTCAGGTTCTGCCTGCTTAGTACTTTCTCTAAGAAGCCTCCCCGATCAGTTAACCAAGCCGCTGGATGTTCCTCCCGTGTGCTTCTGTCCTGTACCTTGTCAACCATGTACTTCCATAAGCTTGACCGTTAATTCATTGTAGTAATGTTGCCTGCTTGCCTCGCTCCTGTTAAAGTGGAGCTCTGTAAGGTTAAAAAGGATCTTGGTGGCTTTATTCACCTAGTACTGACGTGTAGTAAATACTTGTCCAGTGAATAGGGGGAGAGCCAGTTAATACAACCAGGAGAAGTCAGAGCGGCTCTGCTGCTTCTGCACACCCATTCCTAACGCTTCAGGCATCCACAGTGAAAGGGGTGTAGTTCAGCAGAGTTCGGTGGTCCTGTAGAGAAAGCAGCATCGTGGGCCATCCCCATCAACGTTAAACGCTCTGTAACAGCTCCTGTCTCAGAGGCCCTTGCTGTCCCTGTGTTTCCTTCTAGCCGCTACCCCCATTGTTCTGCTTTCCTTTACAGCTAAACTTGAGAGAGTTGCTTATAGTCTCTCCCTGTCTCTCCTTCCTTCTGTTCTCTTCTGAACTCCTTGAGGCCTTTGCCCCCGCTACTCCACCAAAACTGTTGTTGTCACCATCACCACAGCTCCACCGTAGCAAATGGAATGTTCAATTCTCACTCCCATCTTACCCAGCCCATTAGCAGTTCTGGACACAGCTGGTCACTCCCTCCTTAGTTTAAGGGCCGCCACTCTCTTGGCTCTCCAGATACCTCCCTGGCCATTCCTCTGAACCCTGGGTACTGGAGTCATCTGGGGGACACAGCCATCCCCTCTCTTCTGTCTGCATTCGCTCTCCAAGTGACCTTGTCCAGACCCGTGCTCCAAGTGCCATTTCTAGTCTGAGGACTTAGCCATTTCTAGTCTTAGCCTCTTTTGGACTGTGAGTCATATATAACTACTTAACATCTTTACTTGGATATTTCTAAGGTACCTCAAACTTCAGCACATCCAGAGTAAACTCTAGTTTCCCCCCAGCACACACAAATGCACACAGACCAGACTTGCTTTTCTCTCCGTCTAATACAGTTTAGTGAGCAGGGTAACGGCAGTTGCTGTGGAATCCTCCTTGACCCTTCCTCCTCCACCACCACCCACCGTAGTCAGTCAACAAGCACATCTTGTCAGCTTCGTCTCCACAATAATCCAGAGTCTGACCACTTCCTACCACCTCCCCAAGCCACTCTCGTCTCTTCTCCTGGAGCATATAGTAGGGTTGCCTCCACCCTTGTCCACCTACAGTTTTCTGTCTTCCTCGTAGCACCTGGAGTGATTCTCTTGCATTTCAGTCGATCGTATATTTCTCTGTTAGAACTTTCCGATAGCTCCCTGTTTTACTCAGAGTAAAGCCCAACAGCCTACAAGTCTCTGCATGAGCTGATCTCATCTCCTGCTCTCCTTTCTCCCCTCGTATGGACCGCACCCCACTCGCCCTATGGCCTCTACGACTTCCTGGCCGTTCCTTGACTACATCTAACATGCTCTTGACTCAGAGCTTATGCATTTACTGTTTCCTCTGTCCAGAGGGCTTCTGTCCCCCAGATATTTGCATGACTCATTTTCTTTAGGTCTCTGCTCGCCTGTCACCTTGCTAGTGAGTCCACCTGTGCACCATTAACCTCAGGTTGGGCTGGGCTGGATTCCTCCTGGGCATAGAGACTCAGAAGTGACTTCAGATTTCTTTTTCCTTCTCTGAGGTACTCCTGAGTCCTCCATAATTTAATCAGCCTTGGACGAAGTGAGCTCCGAAGTTCCTTTTACATGAAAAATTATGATCGTGTGATTTTGGAAAATGTTCTAGCTCTCAATATATAGTTTTAGTCAGGAAGGAGGGAGAGAGGATCATTGCATTCAAGACAGACCACTAAGAATCTAACCTGGTAATATGTTTAGCAATTTTCTGGTTTCCGTTCGGAACCATGAAAAATTGGAATCCATGACCATAGTATCTTGAATTTCAGTATCAACTATTCCAACACAGCTGTTTGTGTTTTTTTTTTTTTTTTTTTTTTTTTGGGTACGCGGGCCTCTGACTGTTGTGGCCTCTCCCGTTGAGGAGCACAGGCTCCGGACGCGCAGGCTCAGCGGCCGTGGCTCACGGGCCCAGCCGCTCCGCGGCATGTGGGATCTTCCCGGACCAGGGCACGAACCTGTGTCCCCTGCATCTGCAGGCGGACTCTCAACCACTGCGCCACCGGGGAAGCCCTCCAACACAGTTTTAAGCACTACAGTTTCTGTAAACAAAAATGTTGTTTATATGTATGCGATGAAACACAAAAGAACCTAAGCTCCTTCAGGCGTTTATTGTTCACATTGTATCCTCACTGCCCACGGAGCTGCCTGGTACAGAGCAGGTGCTCTGTAAACATTTGTTGAATGAATGAAATGGAATTTTATGCAGTACAGCTTTGTAACCGAGAAAGCAGAGCTGTGTGTTTTTACGATCTCCCTTACACATTTAGGGGATAAGAGAAATAACGTGAATAATGGAAACTGATCACAAGTGGCTGGTGTGTGCCCTGACTTCCATGCTTCTGCCTCCCTGTGCTTTCCAGGCCCCAGAGACGAAGACGAGAAGCCTTCCGCGTCCACCGCCGAGCAGACGGCCATCCTTCAGGAGGTGGTGAGTCAGGATGTGCCTCCGGAGCCTGCCCTCCCGCCCCCTGCCCAGGACCCCCAGGCGGGACCGGCCGCAGAGCTGGACGCGGCGCGTAGCGATGCGAACGATGTGGAGGAGGAAGAGGAGGAGGAGGGGGAGGAGGGGGAGCTGGACGAGGAGGAGGAGGCGGCGGCGGCTGGCGTGCCAGGCGGGAGCCCCGCAGGAGAGCTGGAGATGCGGTGTGACGAGAGTCCAGAGGATCTGTTAGAAGAGCCACGGACTGTTCCGATGGGCGCTCTTGGAGACTCTCCGGAGGTAGCGCCTGCCGTCAGAATTCCCAAAGCTAAAGAAGAGGCCAGTGGTGACGTGTTTGAAACGTTTCTGTTCCCGTGTCAGCACTGCGAGAGGAAGTTCACGACCAAACAGGGGCTGGAGCGGCACATGCACATCCACATATCCACAGTAAACCACGCCTTCAAGTGCAAGTACTGTGGGAAGGCGTTCGGCACGCAGATCAACAGGCGGCGGCACGAGCGGCGCCACGAGGCGGGGCTGAAGCGGAAGCCCAGCCTGACACTCCGGCCGCCGGAGGCCCCAGCCGATGGCAAGGCGCCCGGGGACGGCGCTCCTCCGAAGGATGACGCGCAGCCTCCCAGTCTTGGGCAAGACTCTCTGACCTTGAATTCAGAGAAGGCTTCCCAAGACACGGTAAATTCTTCTGTTGTAGAAGAGAACGGAGAAGCGAAGGAGCTTCACCCGTGCCAGTACTGTAAAAAGGTTTTTGGAACTCACACTAACATGAGGCGGCATCAGCGCAGGGTCCACGAGCGCCACCTGATTCCTAAAGGCGTGCGGCGAAAAGGGGGTCTCCTCGAAGAGCAGCAGCCCCCGGCAGAGCAGGCCCCGCCCGCCCAGAGTGTCTACGTACCCAGCACAGAGCCAGAGGAGGAAGGGGAGGCAGACGACGTGTACATCATGGATATTTCTAGCAACATCTCTGAAAATTTAAATTACTATATTGATGGTAAAATTCAGACCAGCTGCAGCACCAGTAACTGTGATGTTATTGAGATGGAATCCAGTTCCGCAGACTTGTACGGTATCAACTGTCTGCTCACTCCAGTTACAGTGGAAATAACTCAAAATATAAAGACCACACAGGTCCCTATAACAGATGATCTTCCTAAAGAGCCTTCCAGCAGCACGAACAGTGAGTCCAAGAAACGGAGGACTGCCAGTCCTCCTGTGTTGCCCAGAATTAAAGCTGAGACCGAGTCTGATGCCGTAGCACCTTCGTGTTCCTTGAGCCTGCCTCTCGGCATATCAACCACAGAGGCCGTTTCGTTCCACAAAGAGAAGAATGTGTACTTGTCATCGAAGCTCAAACAGCTTCTTCAAACCCAGGACAAACTGACTCCTCCTGCAGGGATTTCAGCCACTGAAATACCTAAATTAGGTCCTGTCTGTGTGTCCACGCCTGCGTCGATGCTCCCTGTGACCTCGAGCAGGTTTAAGAGGCGGACCAGCTCTCCGCCCAGCTCTCCACAGCACAGTCCTGCCCTTCGAGACTTTGGGAAGCCGGGCGATGGGAAAGCCATGTGGACTGAGGCAGTCCTGAGTTCCAAAAAGCCCAAATTAGAAAGTCATGGCAACTCACCAGCATGGAGTTTGTCTGGGAGAGAGGAGAGAGAAACTGGGAGCCCTCCAGGCTTTGATGAGTATAAAGTATCTAAAGAGTGGGCAGCTAGCTCTACTTTTAGCAGCGTATGCAACCAGCAGCCACTGGATTTATCCAGTGGCGTGAAACAGAAGGCTGAGGGTACAGGCAGGGCTCCGGTCCAGTGGGAATCTGTGTTAGATCTCAGTGTGCATAAAAAGCCTAGTGGTGACTCCGAAGGCAAGGAATTCAAAGAAAATCATTTGGTGCAGCCAGCCTGCAGCGCTGTAAAGAAAAAGAAGCCAACCACCTGCATGCTACAGAAGGTCCTTCTCAATGAATACAATGGCGTCGACTTACCTGTAGAAAATGCTCCAGATGTGACCAGGAGCCCCAGTCCTTGTAAACCCCTAGATCCTCAGCCGGACCCTGACCTTGGTCCCGACTCTAGCTTACCTGCCCCTCCTGGCGAGTCTCCTCCTTCGTCACCTGCCCTGCAGACGTCTTCCCTTTCTTCCGGGCAGCTGCCGCCTCTCTTGACCCCAACCAATCCCCCTTCCCCCCAGCCCTGTCCTCCTGTGTTAACTGTTGCCACCCCACCCCCTCCGCTGCTTCCTACTGTACCTCTTGCGACCCCCTCTTCCAGGGCGTCCCCTCGTCCGTGTTCCTCTCCACTCTCGAATGCCACCGCACAGTCCCCACTTCCAGTTCTTTCCCCAACGGTGTCTCCCGCGCCATCTCCCGTCCCTTCCGTGGAGCCCCTCGCGTCTGCTGCCTCACCGGGGCCGCCGACGCTCTCTTCGTCCTCCTCCTCCTCTGCTTCGCCTTCGTTCTCCTCTTCGTCCTCCCCTTCTCCTTCGCCACCTCCTCTCTCAGCAGTATCGTCTGTGGTTTCCTCCGGGGATAATCTGGAAGCCTCTCTCCCCATGATATCTTTTAAACAGGAGGAATTAGAGAATGAAGGTCCGAAAGCGAGGGAAGAACCCCAGTCTGCCACTGCGCGGGATATCGTTCAGGAGACATTCAGCAGAAATTTCGTCTGCAACGTCTGTGAATCACCTTTCCTCTCCATTAAAGATCTAACCAAACATTTATCCATTCACGCCGAGGAATGGCCCTTCAAATGTGAATTTTGTGTGCAGCTCTTTAAGGCTAAAACTGATTTGTCGGAACACCGCTTTTTGCTTCACGGAGTCGGGAATATCTTTGTGTGTTCGGTTTGTAAAAAAGAATTTGCGTTTTTGTGCAATCTGCAGCAGCACCAGCGAGATCTCCACCCCGATACGGTGTGCACACACCATGAGTTTGAGAGTGGCACCCTGAGGCCCCAGAACTTCACGGATCCCAGCAAGGCCCACGTCGAGCATATGCAGAGTTTGCCGGAAGATCCTTTAGAAACGTCTAAAGAAGAGGAGGAGCTGAATGATTCCTCAGAAGAGCTCTACACGACCATAAAAATAATGGCTTCTGGAATAAAGACGAAAGATCCAGATGTTCGATTGGGTCTCAATCAGCATTACCCGAGCTTTAAACCACCTCCATTTCAGTACCATCACCGCAACCCCCTAGGCATTGGTGTGACGGCCACAAATTTCACCACACACAATATCCCACAGACGTTTACTACCGCCATTCGCTGCACCAAGTGTGGGAAAGGTGTGGACAACATGCCTGAGCTGCACAAGCACATCCTGGCATGTGCTTCCGCTAGCGACAAGAAGAGGTATACCCCGAAGAAAAATCCAGTCCCCCTGAAGCAGACTGTGCAGCCCAAAAACGGTGTGGTGGTTTTGGACAACTCTGGGAAGAATGCCTTCAGGCGAATGGGACAGCCCAAAAGACTGAACTTTAGCGTTGAGCTCAGCAAAATGTCCTCAAATAAGCTCAAGTTAAATGCGTTGAAGAAAAAAAAACAGCTTGTCCAGAAAGCCATCCTTCAGAAAAACAAGTCTGCAAAGCAGAAAGCCGACCTAAAAAATGCTCCTGAGTCGTCCTCGCACATCTGCCCGTACTGCAACAGAGAGTTCACGTACATCGGGAGCCTGAACAAGCACGCCGCTTTCAGCTGTCCCAAGAAACCTCTTTCTCCTTCCAAAAAAAAAGCTTCCCATTCATCCAAGAAAGGAGGACACCCATCACCTGCAAGTAGTGACAGAAACAACGGCAACAGCCACCGCAGACGGACAGCGGATGCAGAGATCAAAATGCAAAGCATGCAGGCGCCTTTGGGCAAGACCAGAGCTCGCAGCTCGGGCCCTGCACAGGTCCCACCGCCCTCCTCGTCCTTCAGGTCCAAGCAGAATGTTAAATTTGCAGCTTCGGTTAAGTCCAAAAAACCAAGCTCCTCCTTAAGGAACTTAAGCCCGATACGAATGGCCAAAATGACTCACAACGAGAGCAAGAAGCCCAAAGCTGCAGCCAAGAATCATGCAGCTCAGCTCTCGGGCAAGACGTCTCGGAGCCTGCATGTGAGGGCACAGAAAAGCAGAGCTGTCTTACAGAGCAAATCGGCCTCGGCCAGTAAGAAACGGACAGACAGGTTCAATGTAAAATCTAGAGAACGAAGTGGGGGGCCAGTCACCCGAAGCCTGCAGCTGGCAGCCGCTGCCGACCCGAGTGAGAACAGGAGGGAGGACAGCAGTGGCAAGCAGGAGCTGAAGGACTTCAGGTAAGCGAGGCTCCAGGGCCGGAGGAATTCAGAGCTCCAGAGCGAGGGGGGAGGACAGTTGGAAGAAAACACTGTCCTTGCCCAATGGCTTCTCTTCCTTTTTCCTGCACGATTTTGACATGAGCATTTAAAGGAAATAGCTGTTGCTTAAGGTGTAGGCCGGTGTGCAGGAGGGTCAGTGCTTTGGCTGTTGTAGAGATGGACACATACAGCTCTTATTTCAGGCGTAGGACTCACAAAGTGGTACAGTTTCTCTCATAGGGCCAGTTATGAATTGGATTTGAAGCCATGGAAAGCTCCCCAAAGCACCCTACTATGAAAAGGTGAAATTCTCTCAAACTTCCTTTATGTCTTGGGTGGTATCCCAGTGTCACTGGTATTATTTCCTGATCATAGCTTACCTCTTATGTTAAGATGGATCACGGAGTTCATTAAAACCACATTACAATCTGGTGTAATATTTCTGTGACTTAAGTGCAGTTCTAGCAGCTGAGACTGCTTTTTACTATTCATGCTTGCTTTTATTGTGTTTTAATTTTAAAAACTTGTCTCTTGGTTAAAATAAATCAAAACACAGCACTCTATTCCTTTTAAAAATGCCATGTGTCCTCCCACTCGCTCTTGTTCTCAGGCATAGGGTGGTAAACAGCCAAGATTCCCACGGGCGGGAGGAGGAGAGAGTGCCTGCCGAAGGGCCAGAGCATGGTTATTTCAGGTGCGGGTGGGGACGAAGGGCAGGTCACCCCGCTTGTCAGTGCCTTTGTTTCCCCGGCGTGATGCCAGAGCCCATCTTAGCTCAGCTCTGAGGTGGTCCCACTGTTTATCCTGTGTTCTTCCTATATTAAGAACCGTTCTTGGCGACCGGTGAAAACATAGGGCAGGAGTTAAGTTTGTTCCATTGACTTCTCAGACTTTCTGAGTTAGTTCAAACGTGAGTGGAGTGCACTCTTGGTACTCCTGTGGTTTCCTGAATAATGCCTACAGGTTCATCTCAGGTGAAATTTTTCATCATCAGCTAGAATTTCTGCACAGTATTTTAAAATCCTGTCCTTTCAGAGTGAGCTGCAGGACTCTAGGCTCTTGGCTATAACTTCCAGTGTCTCAAAATTCTTTGGTGTTTTAAGCAAACAGAATCAGAGTTAACTGGGAGGTGACTGCCGTTTGGGAAGGTCACAAGGGCTCAGAGATGCTGTTTATCACTGCGCATTCGATGAGGCAGAGTTCTTGGTGCTGGTGCACCATAAGTCATGGATGAAGATGGAGACAAGAGTCATCAGCCAAGGGTTGATGGGAATGATTGACCGTAGGAATAAAGGATCAGATTTTTTTTTTACAGCTACTTCATAAAAATACTAAATAACTGGTTACGGTAGCCCTTAGTGACATACGTGTATACGGCGTCTCGGAGCTCAGTTAGTCCCGGTGAAAGTCAACACCTGTTTATCAGCTGTCCAGACTTCCTGCCTGTAGCAGCTTCACTGTGTACCTCCTTGTACTCAGTCTGTGTTCGGGAAGTTCCACAACAACGGGACATTCTTGGACTGTCCTTTTCAAGGTTAAACCACCCAGAACATGCTGTCATTTTCATGGACTGTACTAAAAAACGTTTCCCAGGTGGTTGATGCTTTAGAATGTATGTGCGTATTCTCCTTTGTGTCCGATAGTATCTGAAAGAATCACTTATTTTGTACTGGATCCCATTTATACAGTTCAAGGGTAAAGTTGATAAGAAAAAATTAACGTACTGTAAAGGAAAACTCTCTGAGTGAAGTTCATCCAGGGCTTTTGAAGAACCCTTAAGACTGCAAAGGACTGAAGTGCCTAATAAAGTTGTGTCTCTATTCTTTGCTCCAGTTAGTTTTCATTATTTTGCTTTGTTTGAAAGTTAACGTTGCTGGAAGGAAATTTGGCCTAAAAGGGAACAAGGAGCAAACAGTTCAGAAGACACGGGCATTATTCTGACCGTGGATGGTAGCAGCAGGCTTCCGTGACCATAAACTTGGGAAGTATGTTTGGGAATTACAGAACGAGCGTTCAGGGGGCATCGTATTTTGATCATCTGGGCAGAAGAGTGGGCGATTCTTCAGAGAGTTCTGAGTACTTTGTAGTGAATTTGGTATAAAGCCGGGATCCTGGGCGCAGGCCTGGGGCTGTGATGGTCCATCGGTGTCAGCCCAGGGCTCTGAGTGGAGGCTTCGTCCTTTTCCATGTTTGTTGTACTGCACTGGCAAGGAGTTGCTCTAACTAGTCTTCTTCCCTTTTCAGTATATTTCTATTTGTAAATTTTATTCAGGGGTGATTTCATAGGACAGGTTTGGAAATATCCACTTTCACTCTGGTTTTCAGTGATTTCGCTGTCCTTGCTCCATTGCATGTTCGAGGACTTACCCCGGGCCTGGCAGCGCACCCTTTCCCCGTGTGTTTCATCATAACTGTGATTAAGGGCTAGTCCTCGGCACTCAGACGTTTTACATTCAAATGCCAGTTTAGGATCCCACAGATTTTCAAGTATACACTTGCAGTCAGCCGGGAGAACGACGTCAGTTTTCCATTCTACACCGAGAGCTCAGCAGAATTTGCCATTTGGTCATTTCCTGTAGCACAAGCCATTGTGCCAATCCGGGTGTGAAACAGGCGTGTGCTCCAAATCCTTTTCTTAGGACAAAGCCGCAGAGACATACCACCGACTAGATTCTCCTGTTACAGCTCTTAATCCAGCGAACGCTGTGTCGGGCTCACCTTCCGCGGGTCGGGTTGGAGCCCACCTGTGGCTTGTCGGTGGGACTGCATTTAGAGCTGCTGCTGAGGGCTCACTTCCACGGGCTGTAAGACAGAAGGATAAGGAAAGAGGTACATTTTCTACTCCCTTGTTACCCATCTTTGATCTTTGTAAATCCCAAGGCATTTTTACATTCTTCAGTGCTGCTTTTACAGCGGCTTTTCTCGTTGTTGTTGTTTAATACTGTGTTCCCATTGCAGCCAGTTAAGGACACGTAAATAAGTGATGGAGAAGCAGAACGAAATTCCAGACCAAGCTTTTCCATTTACCGTGAAATGGGCTAAAAAAACCAAAATGGTGCTGATTTCTCCCATACCATCTCCGCCACATCACTCCAGGGAGACTGTCTGCGTCCCTCTCAGCATGTCTCTTTTTGCGTGGGACACCCACGTTCCCACACACCTTCCGAGTCATCCTGTTGCTGTCTTAACATTTGTCCCGTGGTCTTCCCACCTTTTCTTTACCATGGTCAGTTCATATAAGGTTGTGTTATGTTGTCATTTATCTTCAGTTCTCTTATTTTCTAGGAACTTCCCGTAGAAAAGCCCCCCAAACAAAACAAACCTTAATTGACTAAATAAAGACAATGCATACCCGTAACTTAGGATAAGCACTACGGCAAAGCGTACGAAATCTACCAAGCTTGCAAGACCAGTTGAAGCTGACTCAGAAACCCTAACACACAGCCGATTGCCCGCGGGCTTCTTGTTGCCCTGGTTAGAGTCAGGCATCTGCTTCTTCGCTGGCGCCCAACACACGTGCTGGGCTCGCAGGTGATTGAGATGCACAGAGGAGGGCGCTATAGGACGGGCTAGCTGACCTGGCCCCTCGTCACGGGACTGGTAACTCAGACCTGAGCGTGGCCCTGGTTTTTGGCACAGAGCAGAGAAAGGAATGAGTTGAACCTAATCTTGCAAAGCAAGTTCTCTGTTTTATCGGTAGTTTGTTGTAGATTTCAGGGATGACGGATTCTGATGCACTCGTTTTATAATGTTTCGGTCACACCAGCTCTTGATGCCTTTCCTTTAAATGAATTGTAGACAGAGGCATTTAGCTTCTTTCTTAGCCTGTTCCTTTTTGTTGTTGTTGTTGTTGTTGTTTTTTATCACAAGCCGATTGCCAGCATAATGGAGAGGAAACCAGATTGGATATGGACTCTTTTTTATGCCTCTTCCAGTGTCATGTTTATATATCCAGATGGACATTATCCTCTCAGATTATTATCTCGCGCTAATTTATAACTGTTGTATTATCGGAGACGGTAGCAATATATCAGTGCCCATGATACATCACAGGCCTGTATAGATGTATGTCTACACCTAAGTGTAAATGAATTTACTTATCAGGTTTTACACATCAGTCTCTAACAGATTTAAAAAACCCAACGAATTGGCCTATTTCTGAGTATACAAGTATCATTTCTCCATGCATTATTATATGCCTTCCCTCTAATTAATGACGGAGTTGGTGGAAAATGGCTAAGTTTTATTCGTGTTGTTTTATTTTTGTTGTTGTTGTTGTTGTTCTCAACTTTAAAAGTAATCTACCTCTTAAAATTTGTAGTTTAATACTTGTTTGGTGAATTTGTGCCACTTTAACCCTTTCACTATCATTCCCATTTTGTTACATTTCTGTTATGGGGACTTTATGTTGAAATATTGTATAAAGCATTTGTAGCGGTTTAAAAATAAAATATTTAAAATTATTTAAATTGTTTTGGACGCTTCAATTGTATTATATGTGATTTACCTTTTACATTTTGTTTGAGTTGTTAATCTGGAGAGTGTTCTTGTATTTGAAGTTTGCTGTTAGTAATTTTATTGTTTCTTGTTGGAGAGTGATATAAAAGACTATTCTAATGAAAACATTAAAATTTACAAATTGACATACAAAAGGGGTTGTCCGTTGATTTTAACCAACGTAGCCTTGAGAGAGAGAGAGAGAGAGGTTAATTATAGACAGACAAGTTAAGAGTGGTGTTTGCTATTTTTTCCCCTTCCAGCATGAAATAAATCATTTGAGCTTGTCAGATGTACAGAAAGTTTTCTTATGCTGTTGCTAGCAAGCACTTACTGACGGGGGAATTCAAATAATGCATTTTATATCATTGTAACCAATAAAAAACTTTCTAAAAGCTGTGGAAGGACTGTATTTTGTACATCATCGGGAGCAGTTAAGGGGGAAAATGAAGGTGCATGTGGGAGGGTTGCTCACAGGCTGC